GCCAAACTGGTACACAACTGCATCCGCATATTAGCACTGTCAGCTTCATCATATGCGTCATGCGTTACATTCGACAGTTTTTTTCTCATACACGGCCGTTTTTACTGCTATATAAGATTTATGTAAAAGCGTATTATTCAACTGGCGAGGAACCTTGAAACATTAAAAACGTGCTGTGATAATGACCTGGGTAAACACTTTCAGCGTACATTCGCATTCTTCTTTCTTAGTTTTCGCATCATAAACCGAAACCTTCAGCCCAATAATCTTGGATCTGTTGAGCACCGAACGTTCCAGCAAGTTGACTAGAAGGCTACAGAACTGAAAAAACCTCCCAGTAACAAGTACTACTGTACTTACTGATAGTTAATAATGATTCTCGGTACAACTCGGCAAATCAGTACCAAATGCTCTCTCGACCCAACGACTGCAAATAAATTTTTCTCAATTACTTTTTGGCCTGCCAATCCTACCTCATTTTGCGTTGCCTTACAAAAAGTTGGTGAGCAAGCTATCGCAATTAAGCAGCAACAGCACAAACAAGCCCCACTTTTTTTTTTGGAAGAAAATTTAAGGAACCATCACTAAAAAACCATTTTTCCGATTAAATTCGCGATTTTCAAATTCAAGTAATTTGGAAGACATTTTATTGTGCGAATCAAAATTATGATATGTTATTGTCGAGTACCATAAAAGAGAAAAAATTTAGGGGGTTCTAACGGACGAATGAACAAAGCACGCAACCAAACCAAATAGCCTGAATGTACATTGGAGAAAACCGGCTGAACGAAATCGGCCGATGTGCGGCTTATAAATGAAGGTCGGTGAAATGCAGATTACTGGCCCTTTCTCCCCCTGTTACTAAAAAAGAAAAAACAGACAAACCAGTATGGTGAGATCATATTGCTTGCTCTTGTTAACGTATTTTGGCACCAAATAGGTGACAGAGGACACGCACTGCGGGAGAAAGTCGTCCAAGCCACCCAGTTTCTGGCAGCAACCCTCTGCAAAAACACTGTTTTTTCGTTCTTCATGAAGCGGAAATAAATAAAACGCTACAAGATACTTGCATAAACAGTTTAATCAGGCTTTTTTTTTTAACAAGAATCGTTCTATCGATTAAACTTCACAACCCTAAAATGGACCAGAATGGCAAGAACACCA